AGACAGAAAGACGGCACTGGGGCCGACCTTTCTGCATACCTGCCATGCAAATTCCTGGGCAGGACCAGGGCTCTGCCACCCTGAGAAGAAAGGGGCGGTGGGGACAAAGGACTTGTGTGGGCAGCCAGCAGCATCTGCCTAGAGGTTGACATCTCAAACCTGGAGGATTCAGGCTCACGTCTACCTGTCCAGGTTCTCAGGAGACTTGACGTTGCTGACCACCTGTGGAGGAGTGCTTTTCCACTCCCGTACACCAGGCAGGTGCTCTCCTGGATCCTATGGTCCCCACCACTCCTCATTCAGGTCCCACTGGGGTCCCCATGATTCTCCTCCCAGCGTCCCATGCCCCTGGCAATGTGACTGCAGCTTCTTCTGTCAGGACATGGGGGCTATTTCTCCCCCTCTCGAATCTTATCAAGGCCTCGTCATTTACTTGGGCTCACGGAATGCTGAGGAAACGAAGACATGCCAGGTCTTACTTCAGGCATGTCTCTTGCTTTCTTGAAACCCTGTTCAGCCACCCTGAGAACAAGCTGGGGCTCCCCTGCTGGATAAGGAGAGACACATGGGCCCATCAACCCTGGTGTTCCAGCTGCCAGCCAGCCAGCTGCCCGTCGTGTGAGTGTGGCCACTCTAGACCAGCCAGCCTCAGCTCTCCTGTCAGCGGAGTGGAGCCTGAAGTGACTTGTAAGCCGAGATCCGCTGTGTCTGACGCAGATCAGCAGAACCACACAGCTGATCTATAGACTTGTGAGCAATAATAAGCACTTCCTTTGAGCCGCTGTGTTTGGGGGTGGTTTGTTACCCAGTAGTAGCTGACCGATGCACATACACCTTGATTTTTTTTTCAGTTACTTACATAACCTATTCAGTTCCTGTGAGCAATTGAGTTTGGGAACCCTGAATTAGGCTTAAAATTGCCCAGGGAATTTACTTAAAATGCAGATCCCTGGACCTCACTCTGAATAAGTTTCAGGTCTGGTGAGCCCTCGCTGTCTGCGTGTTAACCAGCATATCCGATTCTGGCACGGGAAGTCCATGGTAGTCAGAGTTTCAGAAACTATTTGTTCATGAGAACAACATGAGAAGAAAGAGGAGTTGGTTTTGGCCACAGAAGGAAAAATCTGGGCTTATCTGTGAAAACTGATAAGCAGTGAGAAAGGCTTCCTCTGCCCAGAGCCACAGGGACTGCAACAAGGACTACATATGACTTAGTATTCATTCTTGTTTTGCAGAAAGAAACATATTGCTTCTAATTTACATAAAAACTTATGATCAAATACATACAGCATGAAACCCTGTATCTAATTATAAGAAGTTAACTATGGCTGATGAATCAAAGTTAGAGGGATTAACTAGAGACAAATTGCAAAGATAGAGCAGGAAGTCATAGGGAAAAACAACTTAAAATGTTGTAAAGACGTAGAGCAATCTGTGGCTAGATCCTGAAGCCAGACAAGGCTTTCGTTCCCATTGAGTTGGTCAGCCGACTGTTGGTCATTTCACCAGTAGCCATCCAGGACCTGCCATGTGCCAATCACAGTTCTCAAGCTCACACACAGCAGGGAAAAGTACAGATAAAAAGCCCCCTCCTTGTGTAACTTAGATTCTCGCTGGGTGAGAGGACACAGATGATAAATAAGGTAAATAAAATTCATGAGATGGCACAGTGGATTGAATTGTGCCCCCTGCCCCCTCTCACCAAATGAACTTCAAGTCCTAACCCTGGATATCAATAGAATGTTAGCTTTATTTGGAAATAGGGCCTCTGCAGATGTAATCAAGGTAACACGAGTTCATTAGGGTGAACCCTAATGCAGTATGAATGGCATCCTTGCGACAAGAGGAGACACAGACATGGGGAAAGCTCCATGCAGTGATGGAGGCAGAGAATGAAGTGAGGCACCTACAAGCCAAAGAAGGCCAAGGAAAACAGCAGAAGCTAAGAGAAACCTGCCCTGGAGACCTCAGAGAGAGAGCATGGCCCTGCCAACACCTTGATTTCAGGCACCGAGCCTCTAGAACAGTAAGAGAATACATTTCTGCTGTTGTGAGTCACCCAGTTTGTGGCCCTAGGAAACCAATGGAGATAAATGCTAAGAGAAACATAAAGCAAGGAATGGAAGTGGGGAGTGTTGAGGGTTGGGTTTGTAGTTCAGATCGAGCAACGTTGTCCCTAAGGTGTGAGAGTGGGTAAGGTGGGACCCATGGGGGTAAGTAGCATCCAAGGGGAGGGAGAACAGCAAGTGCAAAGGCCCTGAGGCACATCTGTGCCTGCTATGCTTCTGGCTGGAACAGGCTGGGTTAGGGGATGAGCTGGAAGACGAAGTGGGAGAAAAGGAGAGAAGGACCAGCCAATGTAGGGACTTGTAGGTCATAATAAGCCTGAGTTTGAGAAAGGAAGCTACTGGAGAGTTTTGAGCGGGAGACTGACATAATCTGACTTTTTTTTTTTTTTTTTAAGTATCACTCACAAGCTGCTCTGTGGAGAAAATGCCAAAGAGGACAAGATTGGAATGTGACAAACTAGCTAGGAGGCACTGTTTTAAAATATGCTAGAAATAGTGGTGGCTTTAAAGGGCTGTAGGTGAGTAGATGGAGGGAGTGAAGGGTAGCTGTTGAATTTTGGATGTTTCTTGCAGGTAGACATAAGAGAATCTGTTGGTTATGGGGAGGGGCGACTGGGATGACCCCAGGGATTTTGGCCCTAGGCACTGGAAGCAAGGAGATCCAGAACAACCGCTGTCTGGCTGGTGTGTGATCTCCAATTTATTTAATGCACATGTTCTAATCCTTGGTCGTAATTTCCACGTGTGCAATACAGACTCCTGAACCAAAACAGTCATTTATAGTTTGATTAGCATTTGCAAGGAGCCTTAGTAGGCAATATACGGATTTTCAGTTGTTACCATGTTTTGAAGTGTCAAGAGCTGAGTAACGTGTACTCAGAAGAGCAGGTTAAAAAGGGCTTCTTTCAATGTTTAAAAGGAACACCGGCCCAAGCGCTGAGCTTCCTCAAAGTTGCCTGGCCAGGGAATGCATCCGCTGGGCGGGGACCAGGACAGGCCTGGGCTCCAGAGGGGCCATGGTGTCCATCACACCGGCTGGGCTCATGGGGCACAAGCAGGCTTACATAATGGCACTCTGGCGTTTTCACTTCACAGCATGTGTGGTTGGCGACAGAGTCCTAAAGACAGCACTGTCAAACCGGGCTTGGGGCATCCTCTGGACACAGGGTACTCGCCCCGCGGGTAGGATCTCTGTGGAATCCGGCCACCACTGTGCCAGCTGCGAGCCCAGACACCCAAGCACGTGGGCCGCTGCTCTGATAGGCAGCACTGCCAAGCCTGCCTGGGGAAATCACGCCAGTGAGCTAACTGCAAAGTTTTAACTTCATTCTAAGCATAGGAAATCATTTTTAAAACGAAACAAAAATGCCTATGAGGAGATTCTCCTAGGAGGGTTCCGCTCTGTCCAGGGCGGCGGCTTAGCGGGCAGCGCCGCCCGGGCCGCTGGTGAGTGACCGCTCCTCCCGGAGGACGCCGGCGAGCACGTGGGCGGGCACGCGTGACCACAGCGCTACCGGCTGCACACGGACCCCGGAGGATGGACGGCAGGAAGCCTGGGGGCACTTTTGTCCTTCTCCTGGGAGAGCGGCCAGACAGTGGTCCGTGCTGCCTTGGCTCCCTGGTACCGCGAGCCGGCGGTCCCTGGGTCAGGCCTGGGGCTGGATCCCCGGCCTTGCCGGGCGGCGCGGAAACAGCCACCCAGCTGCGGCGGCGGCGTCTCATCTCTGCGCACGCGCAGCGCGACCGGGCGGCTGCCGGGACCCCGGCCCCAGCGCGCATGTCTCCAGGCCTCGGCCTGCTAGCGACGGCGGGAGGTGGGGCCGGCGGAGGAAGTCGCGGCGAAGGCGGCGCAGCAGCCCCCTCACTTCTTCCGCGCCACACTGCAGCCAAGTCTAGTCTAGAAAGACCCACGCCACCGCCGCCGCCGCCGCCCCTTCAGCCCCTCCCAGTCGCGTCTCCTTCCGACGCGGTGCCCTCCTCACCCGCACGGGGGAGCGTCCCAGTGCGCAAGCGCGGTAACCAAGGCGGCGGTGTCTAGTGAGGATTTGAAATCAGCCGCGCGTGCGCACTGACGTCCCGGCCCCGGCGAGGGAGGCCGCGCTTCCTCCCCGCCCCGCTCCCTCCCCGCCCCTCATTGGAGCGGAGGCGGCGGCGCCCCCTCCTTCCCCCGCGCCCTGTCGCCGCCGAGAGTGTCTTTTCGCCGCCGCCACCACCGCTGCAGGAGCACGGAGCGAGCGGTGCGAGCGTGACCGAGGGCCCGGCGCACGGCGGCGGCCCTCCCGCGGGTCCCGGGCCGCGCGGCGCCTGGGCCCGCCCCCTCGGCCCGGCCGCCCGCCCCTCTCCGATGGCCTCTCCCCCCGGCCCGAGTGGAACGCCGCCGCCGCCGCGGCCCCCGCGCCCGCCCCGCGCCGCGTGAAGGGAGCCCGACAGGCCCGAGCCGCCCGCCGCGGCCTGCCCCGGGCCCGCCCCGCGCCGGGACCCCGACGGGAGCCGCCGCCGCTGCCGCGAGCCGGCCGGAGCCGCGAGCGCAGGCCCGCGCGCCCGTCAGCCCGTCCGCCCGCGGCCCGTCCGTCCGTCCGTCCGTGCGCGGCGCGGCCGGGGCTCGGGGCGCGGCGGGGGCGGGGCCGCGGCGGGGCGGGCGGGCGCGCGGGCCCGCGGGGCGGCGCGTGGATGGATCCGCGCGTGGCCTGGATCCAGCCCGAGCAGAAGGGGCCGGCCAATGCCCTGTGGATGCAGATCTGGGAGACCTCGCAGGGCGTGGGCCGCGGCGGGTCGGGCTTCGCGTCCTACTTCTGCCTCAACTCGCCCGCGCTGGACACGGCGGTCGCGGCGGGGGCGGCGGGGCTGGGCGGCGGCGGCGGCAGCGGCGGCCTGGCGGGGCCCGCGCTTCCCGCCGCGTCGCCCCCGCCGCCCGCGCCCGGCCCCGCCGCGCTGCCCCCCGCGCTGCTGACGGCGCTCGGGCCCGCGGCCGAGGGCGCCCGGCGGTTGCACAAGTCGCCGTCGCTGTCGTCGTCGTCGTCGTCCTCGTCCAACGCCGAGTCGGGCACCGAGAGCCCCGGTTGCTCGTCGTCGTCCTCGAGCAGCGCCTCGCTCGGCCGGGCGGGCGGCGGCCGCGGCGGCGCCTTCTTCCACTTCGCCGACGGCCCGCCGAGCGCCCCCGGCGCGGCCAACGGGCACCCTGGGCCGCGCGGCCCCGCGCCCGCCGGCTCCCCGCCGCAGCACCAGTTCCACCCGGGCCGCCGGAAACGCGAGAACAAGGCCAGCACCTACGGCCTCAACTACCTGCTGTCTGGCAGCCGTGCGGCCGCGCTGAGCGGAGGGGGCGGCCCCGGGCCCCAGGCGCCGCGGCCCGGCACGCCTTGGAAGAGCCGCGCGTACAGCCCCGGCATCCAGGGGTGAGTGCGGGGCGCGCGGGGGGACGCCGGGTGCGATTCTGCGCCGGAAGGCTTCTCCTTGCACTGCACAGTAGATTCCTGTTGTAAAGGAGCGGCGATCTGCTGCTCGGATCCCCAGACGGACCGCGGGGGACGGGGGCCGCTGAGCCCGACTTGGGCCACCGGAAGGGGGTGTGGGATACTTCACCTTTTTCCCTCTCCCCAGACATGTTAGGGACGGACCCCTTGTCAAAGTGGAGCGCGGATGGGTGTGGAGCTTTATTTCAGCTGCAGACGGTTTTAGTATTGCCGGGAACTTGAATTGAGTTGAAGGCAAATACTCGTTAAATAATAACTTTTTTTTGAGAAAAATCTTTTTGGAAGATGATTCATTGTCTTTTTTTTTTTTTTTTAAATTAGTGATACAATTTAACCAACAGTGAATTTAGAAGTAATTTTTTTGGATGACGGCGTGTGTGTTATGATTCAATTTTATGCAGAAGTTAACATAAAAAGCATTTTTCTAGTTTTGAAAAAGTAGTTGATAGTCTTCAAAGAAGACAAAAACGTTTGTAGCACGTATTCTTTGGAAGATGCCATTTTTATTTTAAATATTTCCACGTTGGCCTAGAGAAAAGTTCTACTTAAGTTTAGTGCGGTTACACATGACAGGGCTGTTTAAAAAAACAAAACGTGGGCGTGGGAGTGTTGGTTGACGCAGTCCCAGGTGAGGTTGCTCAGGTGGGAATGCTACCTGCCCGGCCCTTTTGCCTTCCTGTGCTTTTCTGAGCATCTAGAAACAAAGCGTTTGTATGTAGATATTATGTCATTATTTCAAGACTTAAATCATAAACTTTCTTTGCAAGTTGTATGCTGATTTAAGAGCTGCATAAGGATTTTCCAGGGTACTAGGGTTTTTTGTTTTTTTGTTTTTAACAAATATTAGAGTTCTAATCCAGCGATTGCTAGGTTTTGAGATTACTTCTTAAAGTAACTCTTTTTTGTTGTAAGTCTGTTCATTCAGATTGGAAAATGGTTAAGTTGATACTACTTTAAAGCAAGTGAGATACATCCTAGGAGCTTCATGTCCTGTAATTTGTTTCACCTGGTTTGGGTTAGAAGTGTTACATTCTTAAATTCCCCGAAGCCCCAGTGTGCATTTCAGCCCCAGGTAGGAGCCACTCTCCTCCTGCTTCTCTGTCTCCAGCCCTTACTTGTCAAACTGTCCAAGAAAGGGTGGTATGGAGCGATTTCTTGATGGATAGCATCATACCCGAGTTCCTTGGTTGGGGGGTGGGGTGAGGCCTGCGGGTTTCCAGCCTGTCATGTCTCTGGAACTGACTCTGTGTCTTAGCACTAGGAAAATAGGAGGACATGTGGTCTTCACTGGTAGAGCATTTGGGGGTCCAAACGGTCCCAAGTCTTGCTTCTTCAGTGAGCTGTTGACAGTGGCGGCATCATGCCCCTTTGCAAATTACTTAGGCCCTGGAAGCTATTTCCTCTCCCCTAGGTTTCTAGAAAGCTTCAATACGTACGTTATTTATTTATTTTTACTTATTTACTTGAGAGAGGGAGAGAAACACACACCAGGAGTGGGATGGGGGAGGAGGAGCAGAGGGAGAGGGAGAAGCAGGATCCCCGCTGAGCAGGGAACCAGAATGGGACTTGATCCCAGGACTCTGGGATCTGGACCTGAGCTGAAGGCAGATGCTTAACTGAGTGAGCCACCCAGGTGCCCCTGCTGGTTCTTTTATTAATAAATGAGCCCACCAAATACGAGGTTCTTTGCTAGGACCTGAGGTAGTAGTTGGCCTGGAAGATGCCTGTCTCTTGATCCTGCCTCTGAACCCTGGCCTCCATCTGCGTGCCCCTGCGCAGCGCACGCTAGCACAGTGTGTAGGTCTTCTCTCCTCCTTGTCTGTCTCCCCCATCTAGTCTTTGATCAGATCTCTTTACCCTCCCGCAGCATGTCACTGCTCTCGGAGATTGCTCCAGCGGCCAGTGGTCCTCGAACACTGTTGCCGGCCTCTGGGCCTCTCCCAGAGCGGCCAGTGGGAGAATCTCCTCCGTCAGCAGGTTTGGTTAGGTCTGTCCCCTTTAGATCGCCGTGATGGCATCTCTGCGGTCCTCCTGGGGTTAAAGACTGCAGCCGGAGACTGAGCCTGCCTCCTGGGCGCTGCTGCTCTGGGCCCTGCCTGGGGGCCTACTGCGGGTCCTACCCTGCCCCCCCTGCTGGCCTGTGAGGTTTCTGCTCAGAGGCCGTGTGGAGGGTTGAAGAGTAGCTTCTGAAGCAGCCCATCCAGGAGTTCCCCGTTTTAACCTACCTGAATAGGAGCCGGTGCAGTCCTGCTCTTGGTGATGCTCTTTCTTTTCTCCTTGGCTGCCTCTGTGGCTGAGGTGTACGACTCGGGGTCTCTCCACTTACTGCCATCTCTGCCTAGAGGAGGAGCCTGCTAGGACTGCCGGCCATGTGTCTGGAAGGGTGGGGTGCCCCATCTTGGTTTGCTACGCAGAATGCTTCTAGCAGGCCACCATTGGCGGGGGGGCGGGCACTGAGCAGAGGAGCAGGAAGTCAGAGAAGCCCTTGAGCTGTGGAGGTATGCCTGTGGTCAGAGGAGGGAGCTGTTCCTCATGGTCCTGCCCATGGCGGGCCGCTGGGCTTATGGCAGCTAACTTTTTGGTATCAAGAAATAAGTCTGTCTAGAACTCGCCGCCAGCCACCAGCTTACTCAGGGTGATGAGGAAGGCCACTGCCACGTGTTTCATCTATAGCTCAGAAGGGGAAAGAACTGTGATGGGAGAGCCCTTGACCTGGTCAGTAGAAAGGAGCCTTGTTGATGAGTAGTGGCTCAGACTTACTGTGTAGGCCCAGGACAGGTGTTTCTGGAAGGACCACGTCTGTAGTCCTCAAGAAAGCTTGAGCCATCGGCCGATGCTGCGGGAGGCTGGGTAGCATCAGCGCAAGCCAGTCGGGCGTTTGCGTGGTGGCCCGTGGAGCAGGCTGCGCTGTCTGCTCTTTTCTGGGGTGGAGGGCTTTGCCCTTCGAAACTGTACTGGTGGCCTGGCCTCACAGTGTTGCCGGTCTGCTTCCACCCTTGAGGAGGTGACGAAGCCAGGGGAGGCAGACAGGGATCCGAACGGGAACCCTCGGAGCAGGGAAAGGGAAGCACTTGTCTTGGAGCAGCTGTTCTGTGTTTCCGTTGAACTCAAACTTTTGTTTTGGGAACGGTGTGGAATGTGCTCTCTCCTCTCTACCTGGGCTTCTGATTTAGGGATGTGGGCAGGTGTGGACGGGCTCCTGGGCCCTGCACTTCCCAGCCTCCGGCCCTTGTCACCTTCTCATGTCCTCACCTCCACTCCCTGGCCCAGCGAGTTGTTACTTTGCCCTGGTCAGTGCTGCCAGCTTCAGAAACCTCATGAGCCTCAAGGCAAAGAAAAGTCCCAGGTGGGGGTGGGGGGAGCTTGCACCCCAAGTGTGTTGCTGCATCCTTACTGGTGCCCTGTAGAGCCCCGGGAGGAGCGTAATGAGACGAGGGAAGGCCCCTGGCCTCTGGTGGGCCCCTGCAGGCCAGGCCCTGACCAGGCTTCAGTGTGGGCTTTGGCCATCTGTGCGTCGTCCTCTCTGGTGTGCCTGAGTGTGAAATGGTCATGGAGCGTCCTTCCTGCAGGGCTTTTAACAGTGTTTATTTTTTGACATCTTCTGTTCACTCAAAATTCAGTTCTTCATCTGATGTTGGTGAGAAATGGACCCATGTCATTCGTAGGATGGTGACCCCGCAGGACTCCATGTGTGTTTCCTTCACTCTGTTTGGAGAGGCTGAGCCTGGAGGAGGATTCAGGAGGCTTCAGGATGCCTCCTCTCCCTCTGTGCTTGCAGCCTGACTTGGCACTACGTAAAGTAGCGTGCAGGTGACCCCCTCCTGCAATGTGTCCTTCTGGGGACCCAGTGGGAGGGCGCAGGTGAAAGCCCAGCAGGGCCCATGGCAGACGACAGCATTGTCACTCCTGTTGCGTCCTTTCCGTCCCATATCCGCCTGCACACATGGGACACATGGGAGAGGTTAGAATGAGACCCGCCCCGCAAGGTGACAGTGGCACGCACAGGCTTCATTTTCTCAGTGTTCATCATCTGCGACCACTGGGTATGAGGTCGTGCCTGGAAGCCGTGCCCGCATTGCTGCTGCGCTGAGCATGTGCAATGAGCTCCTCCTCAGAGGTTCCAACCCCCTTAGTAACAGTGTCGCTTGTTCCCACCCGGTATACCTTGGCCTGTCACTGCAAAGTGAGATCGAAAATCCAGGGCTGCCTGCGGGCTGGGATGAAGTTGGGGAGAGTTGGCCTGGTTGCCGGTAAGTGAAGAGTCGCAATGAGGACTGCCGACCCTCGGAGAAGGGCTGGACGGACGCCCTGGAAAGGATTGCGGTATGAAACAGGCTGGAGGAGTCCTGGGGGAAGGCAGAGACCTCGAAAGTTTTTTGCAGAAAACGACTTTGGTAACGCCCATGCTGCCGCAGTCGCCGCTGGCGGACCCCGCGCTGCCGGGCTGCCCGGCGCTTGTGAGGGAGGAGCTTAACGCGGCAATGCTGTTGGCTTCTCAGCAGTAGCGCGGGTGTGATGAGCACTTGGGAAAATAATTTTTAAGTAAATGTTTTAAAGTGTCCATTTTTCATAACTTTGGGATTTTTCAAGGTAAAGCCTCAGACTTCCTTTGGTCACTATTTAATAAGAAATCTTGTTTCCCATTGTAAACGGAATCGTGTACGTCTGATGGGAGGAGGCATCATGGTTATCCTGGGAAATGAGGACTTCCTGTGCATTGGTTTAGGACCTGTGTTTTAAGTTACGGAATGAAAGAAGCTATTAAAAAGCAAGACGGGGGCACCTGAGGGGCTCAATGGGTTAAAGCCTCTGCCTTCGGCTCAGGTCATGATCTCAGGGTCCTGGGATTGAGCCCTGAATCGGGCTCTCTGCTCCGCAGGGACACTGCTTCCATCTCTCTCTCTCTCTCTCTCTCTGCCTGC